CCGTTGACAATCCTGCAGAACTTCAACACCTCAGAATGTTGAAAATCAAGCGTGGCACCTTGGGTAGACACCTCCTTCCGAATCCACGAAAGGCTGCAGGGGCAAAACAACGCCTCTTTCATCGAGGCAACCACCTTTCTTTCCAAGGAACTGTGAAGCATCGTGACTTGCCAAGCGTTTGCTTTTGTAAGCCGAAAACACTGTCCATCATGCGCCTGAGCCAGGTAATCTTGGTTGAATCAAACATTTCGGACTTGGAGGGTTCTGCGTGACATTGCATGACTGTCACAAAAACTGGAAGAACTTCAGAAGAACAACAGTAACAATAAGAGTATAGATAATATGTATTCTGCAGTGCCTTGACTGATCCACCGTGAGAAGGCCGAGTGACAGCTCAGCTGTGGTGATCACGCTGCTGCTGTTCGGGTCCTGACCAAAATTAACCTGTCCACCATGCAAAGTAGGAGTCAACTATATAGAAGAAAAAAGGCATGCAAAAAAAAAAAGTGCAACAAATTTCACTGGGCCACTTTGAGAGTTTGTCCCGGGCGAATGCTTCAATCTCTGGCATATTAGTCTCTAAGTCAAACTCTCCCTAAAGTTCTAGGAACCAAATCACTAGCGCGAACTATCCTGCGTCCTAAGGTAGTAGCTACTTAAGCTACTGGCTACTTCTCCCTTCTAGCTAGCTAGCTACTGACTTAGTTAATTAGAAGGGCGAGGCCTCGCGTAAAAACAAAAAGGTCCTTGGAGTGTTCTTCCGACATCTCCGTGGGTTCCTTTGGCAAAAGGTCACAGCTGTAGGAATTTGGCGGAGCTGGGATTGTGGCAGGTGTCTCCTGGCCAGCAGTATCACGTTGCTACAGTCAGTGTCTGTCAACAAGCGCACGGGGATGTTATCCTGAGTGAGGAGGCCCTCGCTTTACAGAATTGGTTCTTCGGAACTGATGTCGCTGATAGTCACCGCATTTCCAATGTCTACATGTGTCATGGTGTCTGTGTGCGTGTTACCTCCCGTCTCCAGACTCTACCTCTTCATTTCCACTACTTTACTTTCCTTTCCAATCGACTTTTCTGTGTACAGACGCGACAGTGGACCACTATCACTCACTCCCCAACGAAGACTCGACAGTGATAGTTCGGTCGTGATATCCAGAAGGGACGCCTTCCGGACATACCTGCATTACATGTTTACACGTGCTTTCTGATCATGTGGTTCTAAGTAAAGCTCACCGCTGTCTCCTACGTTGTTTCTGCATTAAAGGGCTAGTGCATTCGGCTAATGCAGTAACATAAAATGCCAGTGCTCCCCGAGATCTCCACTGAAACTCTGCTCGTTAGAGCTCTATTCTGAAGTGTGTGTGTCTTGTCCTAGTAACTCACGCATGCGGAGGCTTCACACTCTTTTCCCTTGACGGCAAGGAGCACAAAAAAATCAAAAAGTTGGCCACAATGTCCAAATCTCTGCTCAACTGCTCGCCTCTGACTCTTGCTTCCTTTCCTCTGGTGCGTGCAGCGCCAAAAGAGCGCGTAGCTCAGCACGGCTGTACTTCTGGCCATCTTCATGCACTTCGTCCTGCAAGGCGATCCATTCAAGTGAGGGACGTCGACTGCCTCTGAAGTGGAACCCATCGAAACCTGCCTGGGTAGAGAATCTATAACGACATGAATCAGTTGAGTCGATGGAGGAGAACGCCTCTATTTTGTCCATATAGAAAATACAATGAAATACATCTTACATCATCTTACATCATTGCTATTGAGTGGACTTGATTTGTTCCCTCTTGGAACAATGGCCAGGGCTGCGTCTTGTGATGCTGAAGGAATGTGGCCGAAAACAACTCTGAAACTGAAACTGCGTGATGCTGTTGTTTGGTAGCAAGGGCCTGTAATAGTCTGTGAAGTATGTATATTATACAGTAATTGTGGTATATGATAGTATGACTGATAGTATGGTGCAATCGTACATCTGTACATTCTGGTTGCATGTTCTTTCCATGGAGGCCTCCACAATCTTTCCAATGTTTTGTACTGTGTGCTTCATGAACTACTTCCTTCATGTCACCCAACAGCCAGCTGAAAACGTCGTTGACCCCAACGAAATAGTGATTGCTGAAACATGCTAAAGTGGTGAAACCTGTGTGCCTTTGTAGTTGTTTCAAACCCATCTAAGTCCCAGGTCATGACAATGATTGTAACATGTTGCAACCAAGAAAACTAGTGCCAAGCTAATTGCAAGTCTTCTGTCCTTGAAGATTTGGTCGAGGACGTTGGCTATAGGCCGCGCTACACAGTAGAAGACCAGTTCAAGAAATGACACCAAAGGAACCAAGGCAGAGGCAATAGTGAACCTGGGTTGGGGAACAAATGAACAGCAAACTTGCGTCTGCACACGATTGTGGAAGGAACATTGAAGCAGACTTAGCTATTGCTGTTCATTAGGCCAAATCCCAAATTCAGCAATACAAACACATGTGATGCTAGTGAATATTGGATATTATTGGATTCATTGCAAAATTTGGGTCCTCTGATGGCCAGATTTGCCAAGCAAAATTGTTTGTCTCAATCTTCCTTGCCCACCATAGATAATACACGCGGTATCACAACAGCCTGAACACAAGCATCCCTTCCACATTGCATATCGTCAAGTGCGAGCGGCTGGTTGGGGCCGGTGAAGACAGCCGATGGCAGAATCTCTCCACATACCAGCACCACGGACACCGAAAGCCTTAGATCTTGCCGCAACTCCTGGTTGACTGCACTCAGTTGTTTGTTGCCTGCAAAACCTAGTCCGTCTTCGGCACTGATTGTCATGGCTGTTTCAACAATACAACATGGACGACGGACGACGGAAGCCGAAGCAGTCCGAGCCGAACCGAACGCAAATGCTGCAAATCGAAGACCGAGCCGAAGCCGATAAAAATGTCCCCGCATCGAACCGATACCGAAACGGAGACATGCACGCAAGTCGATACCGACACCGAACCGATTGCGCGGCTGCTGTGCACGTAGTTGTCCACCCGGCGCAACTTGAGCGGCATAGTTTCGACCTATTTAAATTCCTGGGTTGTAGACTTCGGATGCCAAGGGAGGACAAACCCTGCGTGAGTGTTGGGAAAGGCCGGGCTTATACCATTTTTGGGCCACGCGTCTACCTTACTCATGCACACGGGTCTAAGCCCACTAAACAAGGCTAAGGGCGGGCGGAAACCATGTTCAGGTGATATTTCAAAGGTTGCAAATTGAATCGCAACCCAAGACTGCGGAGGCAGCCGTGCGTTGCGATTCAAATCGCAACCTGTTTGAAACATCACCTGACCATGGTTTCCGCCCTTAGTCTTGCTTAGTAGGTGACCCTTTTGCGGTGGAAAGCGCGAGACCTCTGGTATAGAGCATTTTGTCCTTCGCTGTGGGACGGGTGCGACCAGAGTTTTATATAGCTGCTGTGGTTGGTTCTGTGTTGGAATTCCTCTGTAATCATGAGCTATGAAAGGTGCCTGTGGGGATGTTGGGGGCAACCCACCGATTCCTTTTTCAGACCATTTCAGACCAAGTTCAGACCTGGCTCATCATGTGAAAAGCCAAAAATACCACTCTAGATTGAAGAAGAATAGAAACTAACTAGGCCCATTCAATTTTGATTTTGCTCAAGGCTGAGCAGAACCTATCAAAAAACGGAAGTTCCACCCCACCCACCCAAATGTTTTCTGTAATCATGAGCTATGAAAGATGCCTGTGGGCCGTAGGGGATATTGGGGGTAACCCACCCGGGTTGCTTTTCAGACCATTTCAGACCAGGTTCAGACCTGCCTCAGGTCATCATTTACGTGCCACCTCCCCCCAAAAAGGAAGAATGAATTTGCTCAAGGGTGAAAAAAGGCTCTGGAACAAAGGATGTATAAGCTCGGTCTAAGTGGAGTATAATATAACTATAGTGAGAACCGAACCGGACCGTTTCGACCATGATTCAAACAGGCGGCGCTAGCCAGCAAAGACAAGGATTGTGATGCTTGAAGCTTGCTTGTACGATTTTGTATGATGTGATTGTTCTGCTTGCAACCCTCCTCTGTCTGAGTTCCGTTGCATATTTATACAGGAAGTTTGTAAAGCACACCCCGCTTTGAAAGGTTGGCAACTGTGACATTTGATGGCCTGCAAACTGGATCCATCACTTAGCCCAGCTGCCTTGCTGTCTCAGCCAGGCAGTATAACTTTCCCGCCAACCTACGAGCTTCTATGTGTCAAACAGTGAGGCACCGAGGAGCAGCAAGGCTACCCACGAAGGCACCAATTCATCCAGGAAAACCGGCAACGCCTGCAAGCAGTGGTCTCCACTTCATCTCTGGTTTCTGGGGAACTAAAGGATTGTGATGGATTGAGGCTTTCTCTCACCCATTGATCGCTCAGCACCGCGCATATGCGAACATGAATGTCCTAACAATGGACAAACCCTGGCTGTCGTTGGACACATTCAGCTATCACTTCATTGAATACCCCTGATTGGTCACTGCCTAGCATTCTTTCATATTCTTTCGCCGGCCAAGTGTAGGACAGCTTGGCATTTGGAAACCAATGAATGAACCCTTGAAAGCCGAACTGCTTTAGAATACTTCTGAATACTTCTGACTTCGGACATCGACCATTCTTCCAAACCATTGTATAAAGGGTGAGACACGAAGGACACGCGAGCAATGATTCAGGATGCATGCTTGCAAAACCGATGGTCGGGCAACTAAAAATAGTGCAGTTTCCCTGAGTTGTCTAACCTCATTCGCCACTGTGTTGAAGAGGAGGAGGGTCACGAGGAGCAAATGGTGGTCCTCCAACCAGGGGTTACCGGAAACACTAGCTGGTAATATCACGAGTTGTTTTGTGAAGGTCCTATAGCGAGGTCAATTCCGAGTGCTTTGTTTCAAAAACAGTACTGCATCGACTTCTGATTCTGGGATTATCCAAAGATTATTGTCTTCATAGCTTGCTGCTTGCCTTTTTGATCATCTGGCACTGTTGGTTGGTCTCGACATTTGAACATAAGCAAATTCCATGACTTTGCTGCTGCAAACTTAAAACTCTCCAGAAAGCTGGTTGTATATAGAAATTGGAAATAGTCAAGGACTAGCAAGTTTAACTCTGCATGTCATGGCCAGCAGTGGTCCTTGACTAGTGGCAAAATTCGAGATGCGCACTGCTGTTCTAGCTTTAACTTGCTTCTCTCCTCTTGTGTCACACAGTCCTGGCGCATCTCAACATGCTCTGACACACAAACAATGTGATACACCATTGTTTTAGAACTAGAACTAATTATATATAATAGTACGTATATAGTTATGCAGCACATTGCTGGGGATTTCTGCGCCTTTCAAGATCCTGAACCATGGCGCAGCTGTCATTTCATGTTGGAATTCACAGGCTTGCAACGTGTCCACAGATTCACATTCCGTAAGTTCAACCAAACTGAGTAAGTGGTTGCAGCGTCCTCTGGCCGCGCTGCCAGGATTACCTGACAAGACCCCCCAAGAATGTTGCATTCCGGTAGCAAACATCTCCAAGCACTCCAAGCAAAGCGTTGTGTTGTTCCTTTCGGATGGCCCATAGTTCGCATCTTGACAGCGACTCCCAAGAACTCGAGAATGAGAATGAAAGGCCACGTGTGCAGCTCTGCCTGTAGGCCAAAAGGCTCCAACGTTGCCAAACCCAGCGTCAGCCCAGCAGCCAAAGCGGCTGAAAGGACCTAAGGAAGGTAAGCAAAAATGGATGCAAAACTCAAGACTGGGCACCGGTATCAAGAACTCCCAGACTGTGTGGCCAGGTTTTTTGCTGTTTGGCCCTTTGGACAACCACCAATGACTCCATCCCAAGGCACACAAAGCAGCACTGCTGACATGTCAAACCAAATCCTCGGCTTCAGAACATCGGAGTTTAAGTTCTTGAAGCAAGCAAAGCCTCATCTGCCGCAAATAATCCAAAATCCGTACGAGCTAAACTGGCCTCAACCACATGCAGCACATCCCAGGAACTTGCCAAGTCATCATTGCACATAATTTAGCTGCAACAAATTGCAACAACCTGCACTTCCCTCTTCCAGTCTTTCACGAGGTCAAAGTCTGCTAGTATTTAGATGTCTCAGTCTAGGAATCGTTTCATTAAGTGAGGTTCTTTTGCGTCCTTGCATGTAGCAGCTTCTCTCATTACTAGTACAGTATATAGAATAATGGGTCTTATTACCAATTCAATATCAATGATGACTTAATACGGCAAATACACCAGTAAAGTTTTAGCAAAGGTTCTCCATGGTGGCCATTCGACTTTTGGTCTCCTGGAGGGGAATCAAGAACAGCTTTGCACAAAGGGGATTGGGGATATACTTAAGGTCATCTAGCATGACATCAATGAAATCCACCAACAGGGAAACACCAAACCATTGTCAAAATGTTGTGTCAGGCACAAGCGAGGAGCTGTAACCAAAGGAGAAATCTTGATCTGCTCAGAACAAAGCATGGGAAACAAGCCGACAGACAAGCCCCAGCAAAATCCGGGGCTTGGTAGGCTTTTCAAGTCTTATTGGTACTTAGCAAGGTTCATTGAATCTAGTGAGTTTGGTTTGGCTTAATCATGATCAGCATAGACAAATTCCATTGAGGACTTCAGTCACTTCCCAGGACTTGTCCATCAGTAGTAGTAGTAGTAGTAGGAACTCGGTTGGGTCAAGGCACACAACTCCTCATAAGAAACCATCCAATCCAACCCTTTTTGACCTGCCTGATGTTGAATTGGGGATAGCAAGGTGAGACACTCCGAGACACTCCGATGGGGACAATTGCACCAAAAAAAGGGAGTCCTAACCCAACAAACATGAATAAACTCTGGATCGTGGGTAGATGTCCTTTCACATCGAAGGTGCCTAAAAAAGGTTGACAGCCTTGCACCTAGTAGCTTCTAGCTCTTCGTAGTAATGCCCTTGTTACTAGTAACGATGCCCTTGTTACTACTAGCTTCTAGCTACTAGTGTATAGTAATGCCTCACAATTGCAGCGCCAACATTCACCAAACCCTCGCTCCCGCACCCTTATTTGACAGAAAATAATTGCGTGGGGTGCAAATCATGCAGAATCCCAGCGCCCTGACACCCGCCTCCGGCTGCAAGGCACCACACATTGAGAACAGGCACTACTCACCAGAACATACAAACCGACGATATCTGTTTAGCAACCCTTGCTGTTCCCTACACCCCACACCTGGGTACCCCATCTCCACAAACTCCTGACTCTTAGCTTTGTAAATGGGATGTTTGCACAAGCTCAGTTCGCGCGCTCCTCATCTGAGGGACTCACGCAGAGCAAATTGGTTTCCAGCCATTGCCTGAGCCGGCAAAGGTCCATCTAAATCAGCTGAACATCAAAACTAGTACAGTAACATTCCCATAATAAGGTCCTTGGACAAACAATGGACTATACCAATTCAGCGAATCAAACAGTGCGGCAGTCCAGTACAATTTGCATCGAACAGAATCAAACGGTCGTTAGCTGTGAGCCAAAGCAGGATCAGCTTCAATCAGTTGAATAGCTTTACATAAGTGCTCATTGGTTACATGAATGCATGTCGCATGCCAATCCTTGGTGATTGTAAATGAATTAGTTATTCCGTTGTTGTTTCCTGGGAAAAATAGCTGGCAGCAGCCAGCACTCATGAGCACAAGACTTGAAATGAATCCACACACCCCTTAGCAACTCTAGCAAGCTTCTGAAACAAGCAACAAAGTTCCAGGATCTAAAATCACGAAACACTGCACTTTCTCATATGGTACACAATATAAATAGTTTAAGTTTATATATCTATTTTTACATAAATAACATAGATATACATTGCATCTGATATCGTTCGAGCTCTTGGGAGCTGACTTGACAAGCCAAGGTTCCCATTTGCGGGACACGAGATGGTGATCTCTCGCAGTGCCCCGCTCGAAACAAACGAACCAAGGGGACAGCGCAAGGTGTACCTGAAGTTTGGCCGGCTGAGAACATTCATCTGCAAACAAGCTGAAGCATGATGAGACTGGGAGATGATCTACCGTTATTTTTGTTGGAACCTTTGGACATGAGCAGCCAAGTAGCTCTCCACCAAACTTTGTGTTCCCTTGCCATTCGCCCAGAGCATCGGTTTTAGCACCACAGTCCTCATGTCATGGCAAAATAATGACGTGCCCCAACTTGACGACAGGGCTGTTTGCAATGCTGCCAGAACCCCAAAATGACACCCTTTCTGTTTTTACTTTCGGCCTTCCTTCCTTCCTTCCTTCCTTCCTTCCTTCCTCTTCCTTCCGCCTGTTGTGATCAGGAGAGAATGAGCCCGACTGTTGTCCAGTCTGATCTCGATCATCTTCCAATTTCAACAGAGCTCGTTTTGTTCCGACTGGTTGGAGAAAGATCCTGAACGGTCTATACAAGTGTCTAAGATTGCTCTTGTGCCTTCAAACCCTTCTTGCCACCACCTTCTGGCATGCAATTATCATCTGGTACAATGAGACCTCCGTTTAAGCTGTGTAGGCTCAGTGTGCGTTCAAACCATGCCTACAGTAGGCCCTTGATTCATATCAAGTTGACCAACTTGCCACGGCCTGGTGTTCACAGCTGGTGCCGTTGTCAAAGAAGCCATCTCGGCACTCGCAGCGGAAGGTTCCCTCATCCAAAGAGCGAGCCTGGATCCATCAACGGTTAAACCATGTTAAACCATTCTTGTCACAATAAGTTTTGGTCATAGTAGGGCAGACATAAGCCCAAGACCGTAGGAGGATATGCCAACATGGTGACTCGTCGCAGGGTGCAGGCCTTCACAGACTCGTAGCCTGTGCCATTGCCCACAAGGTCGATGCAAACCCCATATGCTCCGCATGTGTAGCCGCGGCAGATCTGCTCATCAATGCCCTGCATGCTTCTGGCCCAACAGCTCAATCCCAACTGAATTTGAGGGAGTGCGGGAGTCTCAGTACATTCTAGACTCTAGACAGGTACCCGTGGACATGTCAGAGGAACCTCCTTGATATAACGTAGTCGATCTATCTTTCATACCGATTCATACCACTTAAACATGATGCTACTAGGAACAAGGACGCTACTAGGGGCTCCTGGCCGTACTACTAGGAGCAAGGATGCTGAGAGTGCAAGACGTCAAGACGTGAATGTCCAGTCACCTCGGGTGCTTTGTTTGGCTCTAGACTTTGGCCTACAAGCAATTATGAAGGACAACCCCATCTGCAACGTTGGCCACATCAGAACAAGAGTTTCTGCAATAACGACAAGAAATCCGTGACAATTCCTTAGCCTTAGTCTCTTTGAAAGGTGTCTTGATGACTTTGCCGCCTGCACACATCTCCCACCCCAAACACAACAACCAAGTACATTGAGCCCATCTGGCTCTCGCTCGTTACTGCCTCGGGCCCACAAACGATCTCACCATCCAGCATATGGCCTCATCTACCACCAACGGTGATTAGGCATGATGCAGTGCACCAGTCTCATCTCAATGCAAGAGAGTATTGGATGTTAGAAAACTTGTACAAATCTGGAGCGCTGGATGAATTTGTCAATGGGAATTATATAATATGGATGAATCAGTATGTTGAATGGAGGTTTGGCGTCCGAACCCAAACATCTCAGAAAAGCAAAACTCTGAATTCACAGCGTGCTGCTACGAAGCGAGGTTGAACCATGCAAGTTACTGTAAACACCAGGTTCCTAGCCCTCAGCCAAGCCACGTTGGAAGAAACCATTTTCACAATTGCAATCGTAGCTTCCGATGAGGTCTAAACCTCAGGAGCTCGGAGGGGCTGCCTCTGCTGACTGAAATGTGAGGTATAAAAAAGATCCACTAAACCTGAGAAAGTTAGCACAAGAGCCACCACATTACAAACATCTATTCATGCCAAAAGGAATACGTTGCATCCAAACGTCAAACAAAGACTTGGCGCATAAAGACACAAATTCTCCCACAATGCATCCATCCATCCATCCATCCATCCATCCATCCATCACCAATCACCAGATCACCAACAAGAACTTGTATCACCAGCATGACCAACGCTCCCAAGGCGCTCAAAGACCGACCCTCTGTGACAAAACTTTTGCCCCATCTCATTCAAAAGACATTTTCGGCATGACCCACCCCCAGACCCCTATAACTTACTTAGTTCAACAACGTTACGAAAGCCAGTCGGCAGGCCAACCAAATGATCATCCATAATCCATTGCCCTTGTTATATTCTTTCATCCTGTCTTGTGTCTTGTTCACAATGACCTCCAATCCACACCGGTTCAGTTTAGTGTATTTTATGAGGAACTCAGGTGAAGGCAGGTGGTCTGGATTTGGGACAAAAATAGATACAAAATACATGTTGGGGTTGAGACTTGAAGCTAGGCCCAAGAACCTGTTGAACTGACATTCAGTATGTTGCTGCTGCAGTGACTTTCTTTTATAGTACAGTACGTGTTGATTGGTCCCTGTACGTTTGTGAAGAATGGGATGACTATTCCCAAAAACACGATGTCTCAGGAATGTGTCAAAACACAAGAAGATTGGCAATATGTAGTAGCCCACGCATCTGATGGCAATTTACTTCACCATGATGCACCCAAATCAAATCAAAGTTGTAAACTCTCATGGCAAAACAAACATGAAATCAAAACAAATATGTGTGTATATATATATATTGAAACTCGCTCAAACTCAATATCTCAAGGTCGAAGCCCTGTCAAAAGCCTTCCCAGACATGCGGGGCTCTTTCAACTCTTGTATTGTATAGCACAAACAAACTAAAGAGTACTAATTGTAACAAAACTATGGATCAGCTCTTCTTGTTCAGAATATGCTCGTGTCACGTCAATGATTTTTCTTCTACACTACCGAGATATCTTCCTTTCTTGGCATTGCATTTGCAGGCCCAAGATGTGGGAAGCGGCTCCAAATCAGCTACTGCAAGTCTTTGCAAGCAAAACAAGTCGATTGAGCTTCCAATCAGCTTCCCCATGTGTTAATGTTCTTTGGTTTTGTGTTGCGACAAGTACTTCAACTTTGGACGAGTGGCAAAGACCTAAAGCTCCACAGCCATGCTTAAGCTTGGCGCAGTCATCAATATTCTTGCAGTACAGTTCCTGATGTGTAAGAAGCTGTGCAAAATGGTGCGAAGATCCGACCACAACAACAACATGACCCGCATAATTTTACTCAAAACCCTTCATGTGTGTTTTCTTTTCTGAGGCATCAACATGCATCGATTTAGCAGGGAAACAAACAAATCTGCTGAATGCAAGCCAGATTCTGATGGCCACATGAGGCTGTCAGGGCAGGTCATTGACCTACTGCTACCTGAAGTGAGAGAAACAGTGCAACAAAAAGGGGTAAGCGGGAAGTGGACCTAGAGGCGGGCCAAAGCATAGAAATCATGTAATTCAGGGCCATCACTTGACAGCTACCAGCTACTCACATTTTTCACTATGTGTCACCTCTTCTGTCTCTCAACTTCATGTTTCATCCTTTGCCCAGGCACCACCTGGCTGACCAGAAACTTCAAAGCCTCCGGACATAAGGTTCCGAGATGTGAAAGAATGGCATGCCAAAATGAAATCTTTGAAGACTAAATGGCTCTATTCGATCATTGTACTGAGCAAAGAAAGGCAAACGTGCATGTTCCTGGATGCAACCCATCATGATGTGCACCTAGTTGCCTGAGGGAGATAATTAGAATGTCAGAACCGACGAGATCGCTATTCGGGGTATGTATGTCAATGTATGTGATTAGGCTCATATATCAAACGTTTGTGAATCTTCAAGACTTGGGGGAAGTGTTCCAACCCGGATTCCAACCCATTTTTAATCAGGAAATGTCGGGAATGCTGATGCTTTCCATGGACACTGATCTGGATTCTAGTAAGGAAGTGTATATTGTCTGCCTAGTGTACCTTGTTACTGCATGACTCATATGACCATAGCATTCCATGCCCCCAAGTTGCACCGTTTGGATCCGTTTGGCATGAATGGAAACATCATTGGCAAAACATTACAAGGGCCACTTGTAGCAACAACACACAAATGCAATCTACTTCAAAATTATGCCAGCATAGACCCCAAACAGTTTCATCAATTCTTTTTGCGTCAATTCCTTGAACTCCAATGTTGGTGGTAACGTCTCTAATTACATTTCTTTAGCTTCCAGCTGTTTGGGAATGGCATTGATTGAAAACAATAGTGCCTGATTCCCGGGTCACATGTGGAAAAACGAGGGGATATATATATAATTATATATAATTGTCATGAGAATCCGAGGATGATGTCAAATTTGAAACGCTGCGCCACTGTTGCATTCATAGCCACAAGAAAACATAACGGACAAGGCTGTGGAGAAAGGGAAAGCGGTGCTGGGTGAGGCGGGCCTGGACAAGGCGGTGGTAAAAGGGCCAACAACACGGACAAGCAGCCTGGACAAGGCGGCGCGGCCAAGCAGACCCGGACAAAGCCTAGACAAGGACAACTACTAGGAACAAGAAGCTACTAGGGGCTTCTGGCCTCGCCACTAGGAACAAGGACGCTACCACAGCAGCGCCTCGGAGAAGACCTGGACGAGCCCCGGGCGGAAAAGAAAGCCTACGCTGCTGCCACAGCTATCATGGCCAGCCATTTCTTTCTTAAACTGTTTGGGGAACAAGAGGAGGACAGAGGAAGACACAGCTTTCGCAAGAGTGGAAAGAGGACAGAAGGAGGACAAGAGAAGGACACAAAGTTCGCAAGCATGGCGGAGGGCCACAAGAGGACAACAGGACAACACCCAAACACAAGGTTGCAGGGGCGCGGCCAGAGACTGTGGCCAGTGTCTTTTTCCGAGAGAACAAGAAAGAGAAAACTGTTTGGGGAAAACGGACTCTTTCTGAATCAATTGGAGAACCTCTAGCACCTCACTATCACCTCACTGACATCCCACAGGATTTTCCCTGCCTGGTGCACAGTAGAGGGTGTAATTCCCTCCAACCATCAACGAGCCCTTCCAGATACCGTTGGCATCGTATAGCTCCTTGGTGGTCTGTCGAAAGCCATCATGGAAGAACTTATACAAACAAACTTGTTGATGTCCTGACCACATAACATACCTCATTCCTTTCAACGGATTGCCCCCTTAAAACGGTTTGAACACTGCCGAAGTAGGTGTCCTAGTGTTGGTCAAACAAAGAAGGTTGAAGTTTTCAATGCCTTCCATCATCCAAGATATCGTTCTTTCCTCAGGCATATCATACTGTAAAGGGCAGCGACAAAGTGCAGAATACTGAAGACAGCTTCCGAAGGGCTCTACTACATTGTGTGAAAAGGTGCAAGTCAACAAGGGCCTTATGTGAAATTATTGAGCAGGATTCCTGATGCACTGGAGGGCGAACAGCAACCTTGGTTGATACTACGCAGAACCAGCATCCTGTTTCAACTTCGATTTGAAGACCTTCCACTCACTACGCCTCACTATCCTCTTTGCCAGCATTTGATTTACCCAAGCTCTGCATGCGCTTGGTCCTGCTTTCTCTGCAGCCCAAGAGTCTGGGCATAATTTGGCTGACCAAATGTGCCCTTGTGCAGATGCACTGGCCAGCAAGCCGAACAATATGATCATGGCGCATTGGAACTGGACAGAAAGGTCGACAGCTCAAGACCCCATACCTTAAGAGGCCCTGGCAAGCGACTGTGTAGGCAAAATGGTAGCAAGCTCAGCTGATCTGCTCGGGCCTTAAGGGGTTCTTCAGGTCCTGCGGGCTTCCAAGGCTTTTGCTACTTGGGTGTCCGCTGAGGCCCCAAGTTGGGTCTCAGCTTGAAAGCAAATGACGTTGATTAGGTTGAGGTCTCAGTGCGAACTCACTCTGTGGCACCGATGTTCCGGTCCTCTTTCGCATCTTTCGATTCTACAACCTTGTGCAATTGCGAAGGTACTGAGCCAAAATGCTAGGGATATAAATAGTTCTCGCCAGGCTACACGGGTCAAAGGGTCGATGGAACAACCCCCCAAAAAAGACACCTATACTAATAGAGGCAGCAAGAAGGAAAATGTACGAGTTCATAGTCGATAGCAATGTGAGTATCACTTGCTTTGTCACAGGACTGTGGCCCATCATGAGGTGTTGGTTGTTCTTTGTGCTTAAATTTGTGCTTCGCGTGGGAAGCTCGAAGACCAAATGGGTAAGGATACTTGTTAGTTGAACATACCACAAAAAGCTATTTAAACAGTTGCGGGTGGAGGTACATGGTCTTCACCTTGAAAAGAGCGTGCGAAGAAAAAGTCTGATTCAATTCCCTGCGGATTGATAAACATGTCATATGCAAAAAAAAGTGGAACCATGTGAAGTCAAAACATTAAAATATATGGTGTATCATGATGTATAGTGCAAATGTAAGTTACGATAAGTTACGCCTCTTAACATATAGTGCCATTGGCAGTGGAACTGTTCGAAGAGTCAAACAGTGACAGTGATGCAAAAAGTAAGCCTGAGGCTGATAGGTCGTGAAACATTAAGGATGATAACAGGTTGCAACCGCAAATGCAAAACAACCTGATAGGACGATCCAAGATACAAAGCTTGCCTCGCAAGTACTTCTCATCCGCACTTTCTGCAGCTTCAACATCCTAGAGAAAAGCTGGGAAGAAACCAAACAAATGCGTGACATCTTGCAAATCGATGTTCTGAGGCAATGGGTACCACAATCAAAGTGAAGTGTGTATTCGTTGAATTGCGTGGTGTTGAGATTGATACTGTGTGTGAGTGCGCAGCGGAAAACGGAGACCACTGTCGGATTCTGAATACTTGGACATTAGAAGGTTGTGACTCGCGCAGGGTATTGAGTCAAGAGACAGTGCCCAAAAAGGCTCGGGGGTACCAAGGCAGCCTAAATAACGGAAGCCACAAAGCAAGCGCAAAGAACCTCTATAGAAGTGAAGCCCTAAACCCGAAAGAAGTTAGACCTATATAGACCAAGAAATGACTCCTTGAAGGGAGCCTCAAGAGATACTAAAAAGTGAAACCCTCAACGAATCCTCGAGAAACCCTAAAGAAGTGAAGACCGAAACCAAGTCATCAAGTCCAAACAGTGGGGAAGAAACCCGCCCTAAACGAAGCACAAAGAAACACTACACAAATCCGAAAGAACGGAAGACCGGGAAGCTACTAGGAACAAGTGCCACGCAACTAGGAACAAGTGCCTTACTAGTAGTAACAATAATAGTCTAATTAGAATTATTCTTGTTACTACTAGTAAGGCACTTGTTACTAGTAGCGTGGCACTTGTTACTCACTACACAAATCCGAAAGAACGGAAGACCTAAACCAATCCCAGAATGTTGCCTCTTCGAGGACCGTGGCCATGCAGAATTGGCTTAACCTGTTCCAGGAATCTTCCTAGATGAGGGAACCAAAGATAAAATGTCAACCCTTGGATCACCTTGATCCATCTTGATCCTATGTAGGTCGAAATATCTCAAAGCCGTCCGAGATGTCTACACTTCAAGAACCCCCAACATAAACTCAGAAAAAATAAGAAACACATTCAGATTTCTTTGGGCCTGCCAGCAAAACTTACAACATAATTCATAATACGTAATATATGAGCGATGGAAAAGATTTCCGTTAAGTTATCACATGGGCCTTCCTTACCTCGTTATCCAATCTCGCATCGTTTTTGGGGTGTAATCTCGTTCTCCATTCCTGTATCTGTTTGGTGCAATGGATACCCATCTCGTTCTCAAGAGGTGTTTCTACCTCGTTTCACCAGCTAAACATGTAATTAACTAAACCATTTCAAACAAATGGCACAATTGATGCCCATCTCGTTCTCGGGGTGTTCCTATCTCATTTCTCTAACTAAATCTGACATTGGGCTATAGAAAGGTAAAAGGAACGCCCCTTCCACTAATCTTGACTACCGCAAATAAAAGCCGTTGCTCATATGCATCTTGCTGCATCCTTCTCCTTCTCTTTTCCTTCTCCTCCTTCGTTTTCTAATCTTGCATCATTGATAATCCAACGCAGCTTTTCTCACCGAAGCACGAGGATTTCCTTTCGCCTACCACGAAAAGTTATCTGCTGCTCCTCCTCATTTCTTCGCATCTTGTTCCTATTGTTGTTTTTTTTGTGAACTGGTTTCCAGGTTTCCTGACTCTGACCAATTGGTTTCCCGACTCAGAGGCTGGGGGTTCCTGACTCACGATTTCCTGACTCTGGCGCAGGTTTCCTGACTCCGTCTTCTCTCTGGGTATGATATGGGGTCCAAGCTCCCCCAGCTGCACGAACTCAATTATATACTTCCCGTAACCCTCCAAAACAATGCTGCGAGCTCTCAAATTTTGCTCTGCCATCATGCCTAGGAGTCTAGTCAGTCTAGTAGTCAGTCTAGTCTACTTGGAAAGGCAATGGTTACTTCAGCATCCTGGATGCCGTAGGGCATATGCAGAGCTGCCAGGCAGCAGTGATGCTCCAAACTCCACAAGTCGCCTGAAGGCCAGCTCCCCTCCCTACGAGCGATCGGAAGCTACTAGGGGCTCCTGGCCTTACTACTAGGAACAAGAACGCTAACTAGGAACAAAGGGCATCGCTACTAGGAGCAAGGACGCTACTAGGGGCTCCTGGCCTTACTACTAGGAACAAGAAGCTACTAGTAGAGTCCTTGCTCCTAGTAGCGATGCCCTTTGTTCCTAGTTAGCGTTCTTGTTGCTAGTAGTAAGGCCAGGAGCCCCTACTAGGTCCCCACTTGTAGTAGCTTCTTGTTCCTAGTAGTAAGGCCAGGAGCCCCTAGTAGCGTCCTTGCTCCTAGTAGCGATGCCCTTTGTTCCTAGTAGCGTTCTTGTTCCTACTAGTAAGGCCAGGAGCCCCTAGGAGCAAAGCCAATCGTTGTAAGGCAGTAGTATGCTACTAGGTACAGGACGTTCCGAGGTAGGACGCAGGATAGCTCACGCTTCTTCAAGGAAGCGCTCACACTAATGATTTGGTTCCTAGATTTTAGGGAAACTTCACTATAAACTCAGAAGTCAAATCACCAAGTTGGAATCAATGTTCTTCTGCATGGAGACATGCCCTGTAGTCATATATATATACACTATATACCCTGTGTTGCACCACGAAGTATGACGACTTGCTTGAAAATAGTCGGGTCTTTGAACTCACTAGGAGTGCTTAAGGCCAATCTTTCTGTGTGGGTGTGTGGCCTCTGAGGCGCAAATCGGCAACTGTTTGCACCAGAACCCTGGCCCGTCCCGAACCATCCCTGCCCAACTCCAGGACTGGAAGACATGTGCGGACCTTCAACGGCGCAACGATTATAGCTGAGTCACACCCCAAGGATTCCAAGGCCGAGCGCAAAAGCTCTCCGCGCAAATCTGCATCGGGTACCAGTTTCCGTGCCAAATTCCATAGTCCTGGATCGATGGCCTCGGGAGAAGATCAAACACTGCATGCGATATCCGCGTGTTTTAGGCAGCTGTGTATATATATATATACTATATGTAATAATATATGTATATGTATAGTATGGCTAAAGATCTCGGCTCAAGAGCCCGGACGGTGCCTGCCTGGCACTACGCGTGCTGAAGAAGAAGGCTCTGGAGACCGAGAAGGGCACGGACGACTACGACTACGTAGTCCTACGTGCGGGAGAAGATGAAACGGTCCTATGTGGCATGCAAAGGATGCCAACAAAGTTGGATTTGGGAAGACAGGTTGCTCGCCAAGCCTGACCTCACCTGTGTCCACTGCGGCGCGGCATGGCAGAGGGCCGTCCCAGACCTGAGGCGGAGGAAAAGAGTCACATGGGCACCATGGAACTAGAGCAAGGAGGGAGTTTCCTGGCCTTACAAGTCCTACAAAACAGCTCTGTTGGAACCTCCGCCAGGCCTCTACGGGGGCAAGCCTCCCAAAAAGAACAAGAAGGTGAAACAAAATGCCTTGTGCAAGGTAGTCCAAGAGAACTGGGACAAAATTCCAGAAGGGTTACGAACCCAGTTTGAAGCGCTGGGCGTGCCTCCGGCTGAGCCACCACCTCCTCCGGACTTGCCCTCCCTCATCAAGGAGCATTTACAGAGCTTGCCACAAGACTTGAAGGCTGCAGTTGAAAAAGATTGTGGAACCAGTGAAGCCAGAACCCACGTTGACAACAAAGCTCAAGAGCCATCCAAGCCAAAGCAGATGCGGTGAAGGCTCAATACACCTCATTACTGCAAGAGCTCAAGGAAGTGCAAAGCAAGATCGAGGCAGCGCAAAAAGAGCTCCAACAGTCGACTGAGCTACACAACCAGCAGCTAGAGAAAGAAAAGCAAGCTAGTGATGACAGCAATGTTGACCCAGAAGAACTCACTCCGGAGAACATCATGACCATCATGGCCACTGTGGGTGTAAATGCCACCCCGCAGCAGATCCAGGACTTTGCCAAAAAGCTTGGTGAAAATGTCACGAAGCGCCGGAAGTGTGGGTAACAGCGTGACGAGCACAGAACAGAAAGGGGAATGTAAGCAGTCTCTTTGCAATCATCAAGGGGAATTTGATGCCAGCATATGGAGCCTGTGCCAGCAGTTTTTGGCTCAGACCGTCTGCAAGGACACTCAACGGCGGCTGAGCTTGGGGTTTCATCCACTGCAAATGGTGAGATGATGGGGGAACCGCGACAGGCGGTTCCAGCATTTTGTGGAGGTGCTGGTGAACATGTCGGTGATGACATGGCATCAGCGCCAGTTTTTGAAGCTGATGACGAATCCCAGAATACTGAATCCCTGCAAGGACAGAGTGTCTTAGACTTTGTGCTACAGAACCTTCAGCGCAAGCTGGGCAATCCGAAAAATCGGTGTTATGCAAATGCACCATTCCGTCTATGGATGTGGACAGGAAGTTTTCTTTCTGGCCCCGAGATGTGGCATTGCACGGCTAAAGCGGTGCGTGCAACCTTTCAAGCTGAAGATGTGGTCAACCTCACCGAGCTGACCGCTCTCCGCAGTTTGTGGCAGAAATTCGATGATACCGTTCAAGATGATGCAGCTCACTTTCTTGCTGAGATGGTGGAGCTCGCCAGGCCAGACCACGTGATCACTCATCATTTTCACGTGGACCACAGGCAGACAGTACACAGAAGGAAAGAATTCCCAACTCACCTGATTTTTGAAAATCAGAACCGCCCACATGAGTTTGAAGAGCTCATCAACCAGTGGGCGAACACAGCAGAAGGGCAGGTGCTTGATGGCACAGGGCTTTGGGTGGCCCAAATTGGTCGCTACTCTTTCACAGAAGGAGAATGGACGAAGCACCATCAGATCCTCAAAGTTCCTTCAGTTTTCAACCTGCCGGTCACCTTTGATGGCAATGCTACGAAAACTGAACAATTCTCAGTGATTGGGTTTCTCTGTCATTCGGGAACTGCACATAAAAGCGGGCACTTCTATGCTGTTTTCTGCTACAGAGGGCTCCTTTGGTTGGTTGATGATGGGTCTTATCCCAGGCCGATTCAGTGTATGCAAGACTCCATGAGAACACAGATTGTTCAAGTGTGGGTGGTCCCTTCAAAGAACATTCTGCCCACGAATATCCCTAGTGACATTACGATGTCACGACCAACGACAGACATGCAACAACAAAGCAAGAGAAGATGCCTTGCAGGCACTGGTTTCTCATTTGCCAATGTCACGCAGCTCGGACAACAGGTTCGGCAATGGATCCTTGGCAGAGACCGGAAACCTACTTTCCTTGTGGAAACGCATCTATGCCCGGAAGATCATGACAAGACAATGCAATGGTTTGCAACGCGTGGTTTTCTGCGATCAGCCCCAAAGGAGGCACGCATGGTGGCATGATTCTTTTGTATCCTTCACATTTGCACATCCACTATGTCCAGAAACAGCTGATTGATGGCTGCGGGTGGTATGCTGTACATTGGTCCTTTGACAACTTTGCGCTCGTCATTGCGATGACTTATTTCAAATGTGGTGAAGGCATTCAAGGACAAACCAACACGCTGCTATGGTCAGGGCTCATGACTTTTGTCACTGGCCTTGCAAAGCCGGTGATTGTAGTTGGAGACTTCAACACCACTCCAGAAGAGTTCATGGCAACCACGATGAGTTCAGTGATTCCTGATGCAGGTCAGCATGCTGGCCACCGGAGAAGACACCTGCCTAACTGGAAGGGAACTTGATTGGGCTTTGGTCTCAAACAATCTGATAGCTGACACTTCGATTTCTGCTGATTGGATTGTCCCTTTCAAACCACACGCACAGCTGCATATCCATCTGGCAAAAGAATTGCAGAGCATCACGGCGCAACAGATTCAGCGCTATCAGCCTGCGCCAAAGCTACAACAGACCCAATCAGAATGGACGCAAGTGCAACCTGCAGATGTGAAGGATGAGATGCCATATGCCAGACCTTTTCAACAATATCCCAGAGCTGAAAGGATGGAGCAGCGCATTCACAAATGGAGCAGCATCTGGCAACAAAAAGAGCAACGAAGTGAGCCTAGAACCTTGCAAGCACTGGTTCACAAAGGACAAGAACATGCAAAAGAGTTGCAGCCTTTACATGCGCACCAAGTTTGGCAAGTGATCAAGCGTCTGAGTCAGAAAGCTCCAGGGCTTGACGCCGTCGGCTATGACTATCTCAAAGAGCTTCCTTTTCAGGCCATGCCGGACCTTGTGGCTTTCTTTCATGAAGTTGAAGCTCAAGCCACAGTGCCAAATCAATGGACAACTTCATTGATAGCATTGCTGCCAAAAAACTCAGAGATCGAACGTCCAATAGCTTTGGTAGCCTCTCTGTACAGGTTGTGGTGCAAGGTCCGAGCTCCCTACACCCAACAGTGGCAGCACAGCATCAAGGATGTCTACATCTGGGAGCGGGCAGTGCCAGGCACAGAATGCCTGAAGGTGGCTTTGAAGAGAGCTTTCATGACGGAGCATCACAAAGCTTTGCAGCGCACGGTCATTTCTGTTCTCCTGGACATGTCCAATTTCTACGACCGCATTGATCTTGAGAAGCTGACTGAGAGATGGTTGGATTCCGACTACCCTGCAACCCATGCTGCATTGGCCATGCAAATTTACTGCGGCGCTAGAATTCTGGAAGCAGAAGGAGAGGCATCCAAACCTATTTGGAAAGCTAATGGAATTCTTGCTGGAGATCCTCAAGCTCCTCTAGCTGCCAAAGTATACCTGCAAAAAGCATTGCATGCTTTCAGCAAGAGATACCCTCAGCTCCATGTCGACCTCTGGATAGATGACCTGAGTTTCGATGTAGTTGACAGGGATCCGGCCAATGCTGTACGCATCGCCATTGCCGCCTTCAAATACATCCGGAAGTTGCTGGAAGAAGACAATCTCCTCATCTCTGAGAAGAAGACCGGATTCATTGTTTCAAACAGCACTGCTAGCAGAACAGCTTCCAAAGCACGGCCCTAGGGTGCATGACGTGATGCGTGACCTAGGTGTTGACTGCACCGGAGGCCGACTCAGAAGGATTCGCACCATGCAAGCTCGTCGACAGAAAGCAAACAGGAAGACAAAGAAGCTGCAGTTGCTCAAGATTCCACAACGGGCAATCCGCCTACGATTGTACAAGGGTAGCATCCTTTCGTCCATCAGCTGGGGACACGAGGCCATGGGACTCGCTCCACAACATCGTGCCAGGCTCAAGGCAGCAATGGGCCGTCAGCTTGGACAACAGAGAACAGGAAACCTTGACGTTGTTTTCGACATGAAAGGCAAACATCAAGACCCGGACGCTGCGGCCTTCCATGACCAGGTCAAAATTTTTCGGCATTTTGCTGGACAATGGCCTGAGGCTTTGAAGAAAGATCTCGAGAGAGCATGGGCGCACCACCAAGAGAGACTCGCCATGGCTGCTCATCCCTGGCAAGTAGCCAAAGGACCTGTAGCCACTTTGCAATGCTACCTCAAAGATCATGGCTGGCAAGCTGAGAGCTGTCACTACTGGACCAAGCCTGCGCCCAATGATGAACCTGAATTCCAGATCAGCATGCGTGACTCATAGCTCACCATCAAAGCTGAACTCAAGCGAGCCGAGAAAAGTGACCGGCTACAACGCATCAGCTCCAGATCCATGCTACAAGAAGTTCAGAGGCCGTTGGACTGGAAACCATGGGAGCGCATGCAACGCACTCTGCACCCAGAAGGCCACCGCTTTGCAAACGTGGCATCAGGGCGCCATTTACACCAAGATGAGTGATGCGCAAGAAGGCCAACACCTTATGTGCCCGCACTGCGGCCAGCCGGCCACAGCAGTGCACCTGCTGTGGTTACGCAAAGAGACTCAGAAGAAGTTCCCTGCCCTCACCAATGAGGACAAGTTTGAATTGGAGCATGGCTTGAATCTTGAGTTCTGGTCGCAAGGCCTTTTGATGAAACCAGCTGTACCAATTGCCACAGGAGGTGCATCAGTACAGGCCTGGGGAACATGGACAACACAAGATGAAGCCCGCATCCACTCTCCTGATGTTGTCAGCATTCAACAGACTGCCGATTGAAACATTATGCAGTGGCCATTGTGCACCACACCCAAATAGGCGGCCAATTGTTTCGCCAAGGGGCTGTTGTGGCTATCCTCCCGGGCGCCCAATCCTGGGAAAGAGCATGGTATTATGGCATACGCATGGTGGCTCACTATGTGGACTTGCACCAGCGCATCATCCTGCATGTGCAAAGCACACGCGCATGGGAAGCCTGGCAGCACAACCGCCATGCTGAAGTCTTTCACCTTCTTCGTGAACTCATCACCTTGGATCCAAAGAGCCGCATCAAAGTGCTCTGCATCACTTCAAAGCAGCTCAAGGACATGCCAAAACCGGAATGGTCTTTGAGGCACAGACAAGAAGATGCCTGCAAAACAGCTCGAGAAATGGCTCTAGGGCTTCAACCCACCAGTCAAGAAGAAGAACTAGTGCAGCAAGATGAGAAGTACAAGCGCATTGCACCACAGGCAATTCAGCGAGTTCGATATCTCCTTGAGGACAAGCAGCATTTTCTGCATGCAGCCAGAGAATCTGGGAAGCTCAAGCGAGAAGAAACCAGAGAGAAGAAAAAAGAGGCCTACAGAAAGCTCTCGGTCCCAAATCATCCCAACAATCATGTTTGGGAGCGAAAGGGCAGAGGCCTAAAGTGCAAACAATGCAAAGCAGGAGTGACCATGCACAACAAATTGACCGACCTGAAAGAAGCAGCCACAGAGATATGCCCAAAAGCAGCTGACCCAGGGGTAATCGGAGGCAACTCCGGCAGCTCTGATAAAGCCACCCTCATTGAGCAGATGCTGAGTGGAACGTGTGCAGGCATGTCAGATCACTCTTTCAGCCTGCAAAAGCACTACATCGTTTGTGGACGATGCAACCAGCGGCTCCTCAGAAATTCTGCCAAAGAAAAGCTGCAAGACCTAGCCACTGCGCCATGTTGGGACAGTGAATGGCCAATCCCTGCTGTTTGGGCGGGACACGCCACACACCAAATGTGGAGAAAAGGTGGAAAGATTTTCTGCCGGCGCTGCAAAGCCCATGTCATGCAAAAGGACGGGCGGCCGCAGGCAAGCAAGCACTTGACAAAGGCATGCACTCAAGGTCACACGACCCAGCTGCCCTTGTGCTTTAGGCCAAAAGATGCCTAGTCGATGAAGCAGACGGAAAAGACACGCAAAAAACAAATATGTATAGTATAGCTATATATATGTGTATATATGTATAGTGTAGTTATATATATATATATAACTGGGTCTTGGTCACGACTACAGTATCAGCTTTGATTGGTCCACGAGCCGCTGGAGTTTGGCACTTTTTCAACTATAAAGAAAGGTAAAGGTTCTTGTTACCCCGAACCCGAAAGCAATCGCGTTCTTCAACTAGTCCTAGTAGATAGTGGGAGGTACTTGATTCAATTTCCGTGACGTTCGGCTTCTAACCACACCTCCTCCACTGCCGTACGCAGCGCTTGCGGCCGCGCTAGCACATTGGGCACAGCCAGCAACGCCTGCGGGGTCCTCCGTTGATGAAGCTCCTTGGTCGTTCGGAGGGGTTGGGACATGGACAAAATGGACTTACAGCATCTAAGTTACAGTTGCGCAAGCTGTGGCACAACTGGCTTCGTCTATAATCACATTGAGTCAGTCAAAAGGATACAATGGGCCTTCCCAATGTTTTTTGGATCCTTACATTGCTCCGAGTTGCAAGTGTGAAAACACTCAAGAATGTGGGCATTTCACCACTGAATTAGCCACGGACAAAATTGGTTACATGCTTGGTTCTCGCCCATTTAATGAGTCCCCTTTGAGCACTTCCACAAACAAATGTTGGGAAAAAACCCTCATGTGCATGAAAACTATGTATCAAATTGTTTCAAGTTGGAACAAAGCGTGCTCCAAAGCTCTTCAGAGATCCCGTGTGCTCACACTAGGTGTTTGGCTGCTTATGAACCCTCCCAAGTGATGAGCACCCACGATGCAAACCCCTTGGTTCTATGCTTGTTTGCTTTCCAGGTGTCTGGTTTTCCAAAGTGCAGAAGCACCTGAGGGGCACCAGGACTAGTCGCTCTGGTTGCTGATGCAAGGAACAAAGTCTGGACCCCAAATCACGTCCTTTACTAAAGATTTACCGGCCATGGACGGGTTCATGCTGCTCTGCTGTGAATATGTGCCCGCTTGTCAAATTGGACATCCCGTCCTTCAGGGCATTTGTAGGTACGTAGCCCCTAGTAGCGTCCGATCGCTCCTAGTTGTGCAAATCATTGCATGGCTTTTCTGCATGGACCTCCCACCTCCATGGCATGGAGATCTGAACAAACCAGAAGCACTCCACGCCACTCACGGCCACTGATCGATGCACTGGCCCATTCATCCTGAAAAATGAGTGGGCTCACACGCCGAAAGGTGAAGGAGGTAAAGGATTGGCAATGTCAAATCCTTGGGAACTCTTGGGAAGCCTAAAGCATCTAAAGGCCTTGTATCTCTGGATGCCAGTATCTCAATGTCTCTCATGATCAAGCATACACCCTATATGAATATGTCTAAACGAGTTCTATACTTCTACTGTCTTCTCCTGCGTCCCTGCGTCTCCTCCCGTCGCCTGATGGAACTTGTAAGGTCTGCCGCGCGGCCGTTTTGCTTTTGCCTCCTGCGGCGCTTTGGCAGCGGCTGCTGCCCTGCGCCGGCGCAAAGCCATGCCCCGGCGCAAAGCCATGATTGTCAAGTTGCAGGCTGATTCAAAAATTGGTACTCCACCTTTTTCGCCTAAGCTGTGAAGACCATGTGCTTTTGGGACTATGCTTCAAAGGTGCAAGCGGTGAGGTCGACAGTGGTTCATATCCCACCAGCCCAAGCTGGAAGCTCTTCTTCATTCTCCATGTTTGCACGTGCGTCACGCACATTGCTTCCTCAAACAGCAGTAGTCGTGGCATGAAGTGAGCTAGTCCAGCAGCCCAAGGATGAGTGGCCTCTTACCAATGGAAAAGAATACAGAGAAGTCCCAGCCTTCTGTGTTTCGAGAAGAGGAGTCATTACCCGGGCTGGTCTGGGTATCTATATACATATTTGTTTTAATGGATTAATTATCCTGGTATAGATGAAAACAAACCGCCAGGACACATCTGTTTAGTTCAGAGTGTTATGTATCTTCTGCGCTGAACAAACCAGCCGCGGCAGCAGCGGCATGCAGCTGCAACAACGACAAAAACAACAACAAAGCATCCGCACAGCCTTCCTCTTTGGAAATATGTTGGCCAGGCCCACAGGTACACACCAGAAAGATTGTTCATTGTAGTTCTTTGATGTTATTGGTTTACCATATCACTCGGATGTGAAGGTGTCTCTTCCTGTCTTTTGAGTCTATATGGTCCAAATAGAACACCTTTCGGCCTGAGAATGCACGACGCATGACACAACCCTAAAACACCAAACGACCTTACATTCAACTGGGCTCAGGACGCCAGTGTATGCATACTCCCATCTAGGCAGTTCTTCTGCCTGACAGTTATATAGTTAGCTCGAAGCCGCCTTAAACTTACCGCCAGTAAATTCCAAAACATATGGAAACATGTTTTTACATTGTTCTTACTTGTTGTGTGCATGATAATGCTGCTCCGTGGTTGCAGTGAATCTGCGAGATGGGTTTACCTTTCACCCTTGTTGGTAAAATGTCAATTTTCTAAAGAGAAAACCGAATGTGCAACCTACTCATAGTCCGCACCTCACGAAGCTCCTCCGGCAGGAACTTCCTGCCACTGGTACTGCTTTGAACCCTCATGACCGATGACTGTACAATTGCTTTATTTATTTGGACATCCTATGCAAAGCAATTCCTCGGACAACCGCAATCGCTTCCTCTTGGGCACTATTCATTGCAGTTCCCACTGAGTCACTGAGTCAGTGGAATCGTGAACGGGTTCCAAGTATGGTTTCTTCCTCAATCCTTGCCCCCCCAAAAAGCATATGGTTCAGCAAAAGCAGCTCAAGCTTCTCCACACATCTACTGTATGCATGCACTGGCACTAAGTGCTGCGTCCAACATCTGTTTCAAGGGGTATTTTGTGTTTGACACCTGATGTGGACACTAGCGGTTGAAAGACAACCATTCGCTTGGCTTCCCAACGAGTCGTTCTCGGAGTCACTGTCCTCAGAACCTGAAGCTCTAGTTGCAGCAAACAAATTTGAGAGCTTCTTCTCAGGATAAGTACTGGATGTGCATCCTTTTAAGATTTTTAGAGAATCGATAAATGTTTATCTATATAGAGAACATTGCACAAATCTTAGAAACCAGAAGTCTCCAATCATATTTGCTACTGTCCCTGTGCTAGCCGCTTTCCTGTATCTCTTGAAGGTATAGAAGCTTGCAATGCCCTCGGCCCTCAGCCCCAGCCTCTCACAGAGAGCATAGCCACCAGCACGACAAGCAACAAAAGTGACGGCCTTAGATCAATTAGTTTGCTCGTTTGGAAATTGTCAAAGGTAGTCCTTACAGCAAGTACAAAGGTCGTCCTTATCTCGAAAGCATCACTGTCACAGTGCCTCTCCAAGACTCGAACACCAACCTCTGGGGAAAGCGAGCTCATTCACACCCCAAACCACTTAAACCACGTCCAGCAAAGGTTCTTTGAGCTTCAGGCTGCAAAGCCCATAAAATCCAATTGTTTTCATCTGTCGCATGCTTCGCCTCCAGTGCAGCTTGCTTTGACATTGAGGCGTGTCATTCAGGTTCACTGGGCGTATTAATCAAGTACCATGTAAGCGGGGCTGACCATGCAACCAGTCCTGAATCATCTTGGACATGTCTTCGAAACCTGAACCTGAGTTTGAGCAAAAACAACATGTGTACATAATATACAAGTATATATATATACAGTATATATTAATATATTCGCCGTGTCTGGCTAAACTAACAATGCACACTTCAATCTGTATGTCTGATCCTGGTGAGCTGCAAGCCAGCCTGACTGGGAGTCTTTGATGCCCTTCCAACCTCATCAAATGTGAATCCCTTGAGATATCCTGAGGCCTTTATCAGGAGATAGTTAAATGGCTTTTCATGTTACAGTGCCACACATTAGGCTGCAACATTGGGAATGCACCAAGTTGTTGCTGGCCCATCGGGCTGTGCATCATCTAGCTAAGCCCGAGGTCGACAGCCGCAATCACTTGTTGTTCTTGGCAATCAAATTAGCCCAGCTGGAGACCCCAATAGCAAGATACAAACCGGGACAAAAAGAAAAATCTGGAAACAGCTGCTGTTTTCAACACATCGACCATCTCTTCCTTGGACACCATCATCACATAACCGGGACACAATCACAAAATGACCAGGGCACCATCAAAACATGACCAAAACACCGTCACAACACGATTGGGACACCATCACAACATAACCGGGACACCATCACAAGGTGACCGGGACACCAGCATGACATGACGGGGACACCATCACAACATGACCGGGACACTATCACAACATGACCGGGACACCGTCACATGACCCGGACACCATCAAAACATAACCGGCACACCGCCAAAACATGACCAGGACACCATCACAACATGACCGGGACACCATCAAAACATGACCGGGACACCGTCACAACATGAGCGAGACACCATCAAAACATATCAAAACATGACCGGGACACCATCACAACATGACCGGGACACCAGCATGACATGACGGGGACACCATCACAACATGACCGGGACACCATCACAACATGACCTGGACACCGTCACATGACCCGGACACCATCAAAACATAACCGGCACACCGCCAAAACATGACCAGGACACCATCACAACATGACCGGGACACCATCAAAACATGACCGGGACACCGTCACAACATGAGCAAGACACCATCACAACATGACTGGGACACCGTCACAACATGACTGGGACACAATCACAACATGACCGGGACACCATCACAAGGTGACCGGGACACCAACATGACATGACGGGAAAACCATCACACACCATCACAACATGACCGGGACACCGTCACATGACCGACACCATCAAAACATAACCGGCACACCGCCAAAACATGACCGCGCCACCATCACATGATCGGGACACCATCAAAACATGACCGGGACACCGTCACAACACGACCGGGACACCATCAAAACATGACAGGGACACCATCACAACATGACCGGGACACCATCACATGACCGGGACA